TTTTCTTCTCTCCCCAACAGAAACAGCAATTCTCACTCCAAGTAGAATTAGGCAGGGGAAATGCGCAGTTTTCAGGCAGCTCCTGCCCCTTCTCTCCCCCTCTATTTCACCCCAAGGCCACCAAACCCTCCAGGCCAGGTCAGGAGTGCCCCAGCCTGGGAGCCACAAGCAGGTGGTGCCATCAGCCCACTGTGGCTCCCCACCTTCCAGCAGCATCACCCTGACCCACTCCTTGCAGCTGACTAGGAAATGACCAAAAAAAAAGGAAGCTATTTATTAAAAAAAAAAAGGGAAGGTTTTCCCAAAGCCTACCAGATGCAAACAGGTTTCAAAGCTAAAATGGATTCAACAAGTGGACATGGCAATTTTATCAGCACTCTGTTCTAAGTAGGGACAATGCTCAGGCAAGAAGTCTTTCTCCAAATCCAAACAATCCTTGGCTTTTCTCAGTCCTTTCTACATTTCTTCTTTGTGTTATTTCCCGCTCGTCTTTGCAGTGACAGCTCTTTATTACCACTCACTGTACATGTGATCCTTGTGCTCCAAGGTCTTGTCATCCTTAGGCTGCACATTCATATTCAGCCAGGCAAAAAATTACAACTGTTCTAATCTCTCATCCCTTTCTGGAAACACAGCCTTCCTCATTCCCTCTCCATAACCACATTTTGCCTTCTCGATGCCAGTAACATCTCACTCTTATTCTGGTTTTTATCAGAGGCTTTTCAAAGGATTGAAGCTGCCTCTCCCTGTTCACTGATTCTGGCTGAAACCTGCTGTGTAACCTTCTAGCCAAGGCTCCTTTCCAAACTGAAATGAGAGTGATAAGACCAAAGATGAGCTCCTTAATTACTGACATTCACTGCTGGCATCTCAGCTCTGTCTGCCAGGGTTGGAGGAGGATGAAGATGGTATTTAGAGAGCCAGAAATTCAGGAATCAGTAACTCTCAAGCCTACAGATGAGTGTAACGTGCTGATGCCTGGCTGAAACTCTTGGCAGTTCACTTGGGTGATGCTGAAATGCTCCAGAGCTCTGCTAGGAAATAAACAGAGGCAGACAGGTACAGGCTCTATAAATGGATCCCACCTGCAGAGCCCATCGGGCCTCCTGACAGACGCACATCCCACAGGCTGCTGCCATTTGCTCTATTCTACAGCCCCAGGGATAGTTAATGTTTGAAGATTAAGTAGGTTTTTCAGGCAGGCTTTTAACACCATGACACAGTCCTTCCTGACAGCACTTCTTGCACATTTTGAATTTCTGATTTATTTTGTCTGTTTTTAATCTGATCTTCTGCTTCAGACTCATTCTCAGAGTGCAAACAGTGCTCTCATGCAGAATGTCTCCTTCCTTGAGATTATTTTGATAAATGTTTGTACTCAGATTCCTACCAATTTGAATTCCTCCAGGGAAAATTCTCCTCAGGAAATCTATTGATGTTCAAAGGGTTGAGTCTGGAGGATCTGAAGATCCAAGTCTCAACACTTTATCCTTCCAAGAAGAAGAAACCAAGTCTTGTATGATTTTCTAGTGGCAAGTCTCACCACACCCACTGGGTTGGAGTTTTGGTATTTTTTTGCTTCTTCCTTAGAAGGAACTGGTAGCACAGGCTAAATCATGTCTTTCTCATCTCAGTTTAGTTTGCTTGCCTTCCACAGAAATTACTGGATTTTTACAAGGAACTTAGAAATGAAAATTATTGTGAACACAGCAGTAATGAACGCTTCAATTAAATGATTATGAATTTATTATAATGTGTCCAGATTCTGCCACCTGGGATAAGATACTTAAACCAAAATGGGCTCCATCCTACCTCTATGGTGGCAAACCCAGGTAAAACCCCATAACTTTTAGTCTTAGGTAGTTCTGTTTGATTCACCATTAGGGCATTTGCCACAAGTTAGTCGCCACCCCAGCTCTCACTCAAGTGAAAACAAACCAGAGGGAGCAGCTCTGTCCCCAGAGCTCTCCTGGAAGTGGTAGAGGGTGGAGAAGCCACCCTGTGTGACATTTTGGAGAAGTGCAGAAAAGCTCTTGACAGCTGAGAACACAGGATGGTTTTTTGCCATTTGATGCGTTACTTCTGACTGTCACTAGGTTCAACCCCACGAGGCTGAGCCCCATTTCCCACACTGCTCAGCTCATCTGAAGCTGTTATGTCGTGCACCTGGAACAGACTGGGGTGATTTTTTAAAGCCTGGCATGGAGACCAAGGGAGGTAAAGCTCAGAGGAAATCAATACCTGGGAAATTGCTTCAGGATCCTAACTCTGTGTCCTTTGTCACTGAAGGATTGGCACTGTAATAAGAGTAGCTGGAGTGAGATTCTTCACCCAGAGGCAGTGGGGAAGGTGGATCTGCTTGGATGTGATTCCAAAATCTGGCAGCTCCAGATGCTGAGGGCGCCTGTGGCAGCTCATAGCTGGCTGTAGATTCCATCAGGCTTGCACTGGTGTGGGCTTGGCTTTAGAGGACAAACTGAGAGTTACCCACTGCTCATTGCTAATGTGGAGATCTGTGGGAGGTACTGAGTGTTGCAGACCTCTGGTTTGGGAGCCAGTGGATGCTGACACAGCACTTGCTGTGGTAGGGAGGAGAGATGGGGAGAAACTGGGAAGGTTCTAGGGACAAACTAAGAGATACTCTAAAAAAAAAATCTGTTCATTTTGCAAATCAAATTTGTCATCTGTTGTGCCAAATTGTTATTGATACTAACTGTAAAGTGAAATTCCTCTGAGGAATGTTGTCACACAGGCAGTATGTTTAGACTTTGAATGCCACTGATACCCTGGGGACAGCTCTGGGGCTGTGGGGAGCACAGACCTGCAGCCAGAGCCCCCTGGCACGTGCAGAGCTCTACATGTGTGACAGCCCTACTGAAAAAATGACCATGAGAACAGAGCCTATCACTGCCAGCTCAAACACACACTGCAACACCAACAGGGATGGATGCAAAACTGGCTCCAAACAACTCTGGGTCCTGTCACAGTCCGTAGCATCTTCATCGAGGCAGCAGTGAGGATCACAGACATTTCTGCTGCAGAAGCAGCTGCATGAACCAGAGGGAGAACCTGTGGAGCCTCGTGGAGAAGCTCCAAAAATGACCTTTCTGGGTCCTGGGAAGACAGGAAGGTTTTGACTGAAGCTGGGACAGGAAATCCCAGGGACAGAAACGCTGCTCTATTTATGCGATTGCAGAACTCCTAAGCTGGGTGCACTCAACAGAGCCCTGAGGGTTTTTAGAAATTTCTGCTGCCTCTTGCAATTAACCTAAAGCCATTGTTGTGGATCTTGCTGGGTCCAGCTGTGCATGGCAGGAAACCAATCTAGACAGCACAAGGAAAACCCTGTCATGATGGAACTTTATAGAGCCCTCTGTGAAAGCAGCTCACTTGAGATAGGAACACAGATCACAGCCCTCCTAACCCAAGCTGGGCATCAGGGAGCTATAAATAAGTCAATCATAGACTGATTCTCCTTGATCAGATAAATATTGCCTGGTATCATATGCAGCTCTGTGTAAGGCAAGGGGCCAGCTGGATGGAGAATGAGCTCAGGACCAGGCTACAAGGTGATACCTTGAAATAGCGCTGGCTCTCAGCTGGTTTAACAGCATGATCTGATTCATCTGCTCAGCCAGTGCAGCACCAAGACAATGAAAGAAAAATAAGTCATGCTGAAAGATTAGTGCAACCGGCCTCACACATGAGAGAACACAAACAGATTCAGAAAAGCTAACCAAAAATCCCTTTCCAGTTGGCAGGGACCACACGCAGCTGTGCGCACCAGGACAAGGATTTTGGAAAACCTGCTCTGTGCTACCCAGAAATCCCCATCTGCAGTGTCTCCAGTGGATAACACAGATGATATACCTGCCTGATTTGCAAGGAGCAATGAGAGGCAATAACAGACCATCACTGGGATGCTTCTGACCCCCTGCACACACAGGCACCCCCATGTCCTCCAGCTGCACCATCCTCCCTACAATCCCTCTCTGCCAGCAGCAGCTGTGATGCCACTGTGGTGCCAGGTGAAGGTATTTGGCAGCAGGCAGACATGAGTCATCTCACCTGCTGAAACCTTCCCATCATCGAGTCATGCAAGCCCTCAGACAGGACAGTCTGCATCCCATCAGTTCTGGACATGGTAAAGTCAATATGAGAAATCTGGCAGGTGGAGCTCATGCTGACACCTCATTTTGAACTACTCTGAACTGTCCTGGTCTTCTTGGCATGAAGGCTCTGTGTTTGTTTTAATGGGGCTCTCATAAACCTTGTTCCAGGAATGAAGAAAGCTGGCAGTGCACGCAGCACCCCAGGGAGCTCCTCTGCCTTTTTCCAGAGCACATGGATGGAGCAGGTCTCTCCAGCTGCTTTGTGGGCTTGGTGTGAAGCTGGGATATTTGTGAGGGTCTGAAGCATGAACTGCCCCTCTAATGCAGGTGTGAGTAACAAAGGAGGAGGAGGAAAAGGCTGATAATCAAAGAAAAATAAAATAGCGAAAAGATCAACCCTCCTGTTCAGGCAGTGTGAGAAAGTACTAATGGTTAACTCACTCTCACTGTGGAGTAGAAGGAAAAAATGCAGTTGCAGAGGAAAAGCGAAGTTTCCCTAGCAAAGTGAATTTGTCATTCACTCTGCCAGATTATTGCTGTTATTTGCTCTTGGCTCTTTGAGGGATAAAGAGAAAGCGTACAGATGACCCTGGGCTGCGGGCATGGCCCCCTCCCCACGCACACACACGCACAAAAAGAGGATGCAAACACAGCCTTTGAAATTCAGGAGGATAATTGATTCTCTGACGCGTGGAAGCCCACAGGACTCCTGAGGGAGCTCAGGTATAAAAGGCAGAGATGCACCTCCCTGGCAGCCAGAGGACACTGGAGGAGGGCTGGGGCTGTCCTCCCTGCTCTGCACCAGCACCGGTCCTGCCCGGACCCCGCGGGCTCCCAGAGGCAGCTCCAGGACTGGAGAAGTTGGATTTGCAACAGGGGAAGGAGCATCTGGGCAGGAGCTGATCTAGGAAGCGCTCGTTTTCTCCAGGAACGGTAAGTGGGAGCCCCTCTCTGTGCATTTAACAGGATAATGTCTATTTAGAAGTTGGAGACAATTAAATTCCACTGAAATGCGATCAATGCTGGCGTCAGGAATGAGCTTCACCAGGCACCTTTGTACCATATCAAGATTTGTACCAATTTGTTTTTGTACCACGTTATAGAATGAAACAACGATTGAACTACATCATAAATGCAAACCAATGGAATTATACTATATGAGCTCTATAAAACACGTTAGATGCCTACTAGCTGTAGCACTGTTTTTCTCGTTTGCTATGTGGATGTGAGTTTATTTTACCCTGGCAAATGAACGGTGTTTTACTCACCCAGAAATGAAACTGTGTTTGAGCCAAGCCAAAGTGTGAGGAGAAACACAACAGTGCGTTACAGGTAATGCAAAGCCAGCCACAACAAGGCACAGGGAGGCACTTAAAAGGATTTCTGCTTTTTTAGTGCAGCATTTCAGGGTATAAAAGTTTGGGCTTTATTAAACAGCAGGCATGGCAAAAGCTTCATTTCATCTACACAGAGGTGTTTTGAAGACTGCTCAGGTTGAGGTTTCAGAAATGGCAAGAGGTAGTTACCAGCTCTCCAGCATCACTGTCACAATGCTGCTGTTCCCACTGCACAGGATGGAACAAAGCTATTATGCTTCATCTGCTGGAATGGTGCTAAAAGCTCTTCATCTTAAGGGGGATTTATTTATTAATCATTTTTTCACATGCTGCCAGAATGGAAAGTGAAGGTGTCCCTCACCTCAGGAGAATTTCGAAGGTGACAATGTTTTGCAAAGCTGTCAAGCTGCCTGCACACAGGGTGACACTTCAATTCCCAGCTTCTCCTCTGAAATAGCAGACACATCTGGGAAGGATTGTAGGACTTTAATTTCTGATTTATTCTCAAGGGAAAAAGGGAGACAGACATAGCCAAAAATCTGGAAGCAGGCTGTAGCTAAGTGGGAGAAGACAAAGCCAGAAACAAACAAGAAAACAATTACAAAGAAATTAATAGTAGAGAAATAAAAAAAAAAAAGTTCAAAAAGCAATTCTAGATAAAACCCCAACATTTAAAGTAGAGAAGTCAGTGACAGAAAGAAAGTGGTAATCAGGGCTATATGCTAAGAAGAGGAAGGGGAAGCAGACAGCATTGGGCTGGGTTTTCATTTACATTGGCACTTCTCAGATCACATAGGAGCTTCTCTAATACTGATTAAATCTCCTGATTGATACTTTCTATAGATGCTCGTACCACAGTCTGCTGGTACCCACTGATAGATGCATTAGATAATTTCCTCTATCTAAGAAGTTCTGACTGGGTATTTTCTTGAAGATGTTCAGGGAAGAGGCACAGAAGAAGCATGTTTTTCCAAGTTCAAATGGAGCAGTAAAAAAAGAAAGGGAAGCAGGGGATTTGTTCTAAAAGCAGAAGTCCTGTACGTCTCTCAAAATCCCTTTTTTCCTTCCTTTAAGCATTCCTTGGCTCTGAGGGGCCAAAGTGATTCTGTAATAGAGCAGGAGGTAGGAGATGCCACCCATGAGTGCAAGAAGCTTTGCAGGAAATGCTGGGGAAGCTGCTGGTCCCACCTGGGAGCACATGTAAATGGAAACAGAGACTGGGTGAGAATGACTTTGTGATAAGAAGCCCCTTTTCTTAGAGCAACGCCTTTTCTCATGTCTGTCCATTCACTTCTGACCCTGCCACTAATTCTGTCATTAACTCCCCTGGTGTCAACATCAGACCCACTTGCAAGACCACAGGTCCTTAATCAGGCTCCCCCTCTCTGTGTTGATCTGTCCTGTCTGAGCAGAAAAGAGCGCTCACTGATGATATTTTCCATCAGAGAGCCTCCCTGCCTCCCCCCATCAGTAAAACCCATCACTTGAAACTTCACTTGAGCAATCAGAAGTCCAAGCAAACCCTTTCCATCTGGAAGCTGCTCCTTTTACAAGGAAGTACTGTTATACATTTGGAAGAGGGCATTTTCCCCCCCCTTCTTAGGGAGATCAAACACCTTTCTGCTCTTTTCTTCTGTAAAATAAGACAGGGAACGGCGAAAGTTGTTATTTTAAAGATTCCTATCCACATTCTTAAAGAATCTTTGAGCAAAAGATCAGTGTCTTTCAATGGAAGCTCGGGAAGAGCAGCATTCACTGAAATACCTTGCTCCTGTTGCCGAGGACAAAAGCGCAGCGCTCATCTCCCGAGGGTGGGTGACCTCGGGCAGCTCTGGCCTGAGTCATTCTCAGCTCTTGAGCCGAGCCCAGCACACAAAGCTGGGCAGTGCACATGGCTCAGCCCAGCTCCCCATGCTCAGGACAGCTGGGGGCTGCTCTCTGCACAGCAGCAATTCAGCCCTTCCAAAGGGACGCATTTCAGTCTCCATCCCCTCGCCACTGAAGGAGCAGTCTTTGTTTTGTTTGGCAAACCAAGCTCAGCACTTGCTGTTGATAAATGGCTTTGCCAAGGTTGCCTGTGTGCCTGTATTACCCCTCTGCCCAGGGATTTTATTTGGATTTCCCCGTTTCTGCCCAGTCAGCTCTCGGGCACAGACCGTGCCCTGCAGGTCCAGCCTGTGAGCAGAGCGGGACAGGAGAGGTCCCAGGGCTGCTTGCAGATGGTCCTGTGCAGGCAGCGAGGCTCCTTTCACATCCCTGCCAACTGCTGCCCCCATCCAGCAGCTTTTCCAGCCCGTGCAGGTGTTCCTGGGGCTCACACCAGCCCCAGAGAGAGTTCTCCTGCAGCCACAGCCGCGGGACAGCTCACTGAGGGGGTCCCCCAGCATCATGATGGGCTCTGCCTCCCCACCCAAGGGATCACACTCAGCCTCTGCCCCCAGGAGCTGCCCTCCCTGGGGAGACTGTGCCACACCACGACCTCTCTGCCTTGGCCAACACCACAACCACAGAGGCACATTTTCAGTCCCTTTGCTGAGAAATGAGCAGAGAGACTGAGAAACATGGAGGTGGCACTTGGCCTCCCCTCCTGGCCCAGAGCACCTCACTGCCCTGATTCAGGCTGCCCTGCATTTTAGGTGACTCCAAGGGGTGGAAGATGCTGGATAAGGCCACTCTGCTCCTGTTCCTGCATTTAGTCACATGCTCCATCTCCTCTCCTCTCTACCCAGCTCTCAGGTAAGTGCTGAGTGCTTTATGCTGACACTCATTCTGCCTCATCTCTGACCTTGTGCAAAATAAGCAGGTGCCAAACTAAAGTTGCCAGCACTTCTGAAAGCCAGATGAACTCTAAATGTGTTTCTAGGACTATTTATTTGTCCTGTCTTAATATTTGGGTACACTGCTGGCCTAGGGGTGATTTCCAAAGAAGACAGGCACCTGATGGAATATTTCAGCCCAAATAGTTGGGTTTGGAATTGAATGCTGGGATCTATGAAAGGAAATCTGGCAATCTCCAGACCAGGCAGCACCTCCAGCTCAAACACTGATAAAAATCTGTGGTTGCAGGGCACCTGCAGTGAAGTCAGAAGTGCAAGTATTCTAGTACATGAAATCTACAGATACCTATTAATATTTCAAGTGTTTCCTTGCAGGGTCTTAGAAGTTGCAGTACTGCTTTGTACCTCTACAAATCAACAGAAGCCCAAAACTGAGCATTGGCTTCTCTAATGTGGATTTGCAATGTCCTATAGAAAATGCTTTAGGCTTGTGCCAAAGCCATGGGACAACAATACCAGGAACACTGGGACTTTGCTCAAGGATGCTGGGAGCTCAGTGAGGGGGATGTGTGTTTGAGACAACTCTACAAACCATCCTTCCACTGCTGGAAGAGCTTCAGGGCAGTTTCTAGCTGGGGAGAGTGACAGACAGTACTTGTGTTACTGCTGAGATGGGATGACAAATGGAGAAAGAAAAAGCAGGAGAGTAGGGGATAATGGTTAAGAAGACTGAGCCTCAGCTGGCATCTGAGCACATCTCACAGTGTGCCTGGGGTTTCTCTTGCAGGTACAGTCCAGGGCTGGCTGCTGGCAAGGCCATGAGCTTCCAGCTGCAGCACAGCAGCTCACTGCAGAGCCATAACCCCTTGGCAGAGGAGCAGGAGGAGGAGGGTTTGTTAACAGACCCCACTGAGAAAAGGTTTGTGCCTCACTTGTCAGCCCTGCTGCTGCAGTGTGCTGGTTACAGTCTCCCCCCAGCCCAGGAGCAGACCAGCAGCTCAGTTAGTCCCAGACCATCACCCACGTGAACATAATTTTCCACTGAGCTCTGGGAATCTATCTGCAGGGATGCTAGAGCCTCTCCTTTCCACCTCTGCCTGGAGATAGAGGATGATTATTTCTGTCTGAAGCACAGAGGACCTATTCTTACAACAGTGGGACCAGATGAGTGGTTTGTGCTTCCCTTACCTGTGGATTTTCTGGAGCTTGGGACTAACCACAGGCTAAAGGTCTGCTGGAGGCTCCTGTCACCCTGTCCCAGACACAGCCCTCCCAGGAGGTGATGGTGCTTCTGCAGAGCACAGGAATATCCCCGCCCAGTTCTGCCCTAGATATTTTATTTTACCTGCTGCCTCCATGTCAGGACTGAGCTCCCTCAAGTCCTTTACCCTCCAATATTCCTGCAGTCCAACACTACAAGGTGTTTGCTGTGGTTACCTGCCCCGATTTCAGCACTGTGACACCTGGGGGGTTTGTATTTCTCACCTGGAGGGTTCACTGACAGCTCAGAGAGCACATTGTGCTTCCTTTTCCCCCAGGATGCAGCGCCATGCTGATGCCATATTCACTGACAACTACCGGAAATTCCTGGGGCAGATTTCTGCCCGAAAATTCCTACAGACCATCATTGGCAAGAGGCTCGGGTAAGCCCCAGCACCCTGCTGTCCTGGGGCTGGGCTTTGCTTATCACCTCAGGCAGTGCCTTCCATACACCTGTCAGAAGCAGCTGCCTTTCACTGCAACAGAAGCAATCCCTCCTGCTGTTCCACACCCCGAAGGACATCCTGTATCCCAGCAGTCTTGGATACCCCTAATCACAGTTATCATTAAGAAGCTTAATTAATCCTTTCCTCCAAGGGTGGGAGCATCAGATCAGCTGAGAGTTCTGCTGCAATATCAACAAGCAATAATATTTGCAGATAATATTTGCAATGATCCTTCAGTGGTAGGGAAGAGTTATCCCTGGCCTGGTTTGAACACAGAAAGCAGCTTCTCCATTACCCTTGGCTAGTCAGATCACTGACTGCCACTAAATAAAACCAACTGGTCAGATGCAAGCCAGCCCAATCCATCTTCTAGCAGAGGAGCAAATACAGCAAACCAATTCCTTGCTGAAATTAAGCAGAATGGCCCCAGGCTCAGTCCCAGCAGGCTCCCTTTCTGTGCTGCTCAGCCTGAGCCAAACTTTGAGTGAGGGGCAAAAAAGCATCTCAGAAACAAAGAGGTTTCTCATCTCCACCTAACAGAAGCAGCGAGAGCAGCCCAGGGGAAGGGGTGCAGGAATTCCTGAGCAGGCGCCAGTCCGACAGCATCCTGATGGACAGCCAATACCACCAGCAGATGGTACTGAGGGACTTCCTGGGAGCCATCCTGCAGAACCAAAGGTGGGTGGGAATCAGCTCATTCTCACTGCAGGAACACACCCAGGTCCTTATTGCTGGCTGGCTTCCAGGTGTGAAGCTCCTGGATTAAGTGTCATTTCAGGAACTGTCAGGGAAAGAATAAGGCTGACCCCAAGCAGGGTGCAGATAAGAACAGCCTGGCCTGAGCCAGCCTGCACCACACACAGCAGCACATCACTCTGCTGCCTTCTCAACCTTGTAATCCAGTAAAATAGTAGCAGAAAAGAGAATTTCTCTCTTGATCCCAGTTATGCCATCCCTGTCCTCTTCCTTGATAGGCCTCAGGACATCGACAGCAGTCAGCTGGAAGGCTTTCCCAGCACCCTGGCTAAGCTCATGTAAATACTTCTCCCTTTTCCATCTCCCCATGCTCTGGTGAGTACCATGCCCTGCTCAATCCTCTGCATAAATCATTGCTGCTGCACTGCTCAAGGTTTGGAGGTTCTCCTTCAGTGATGTCAGCTCCCACTGCTACCCATGAAAAAGGTGCTTGTAATTTAGGGGGGAAGAAAATTCCCAATCAATATTGGCAAGTACCTAAAACCCTGCTAGTTTGAACAGGAGCACAAGTGCTGTGAAGGTGCATGGGGATGTCTGGGAACAAGCTTGCAGCAACCCAAAGCAGCCTTTCAAAGCTACCTGATAGTGCCTGAGTGTGTGGGTCAGGCTAAGGGCAGACAAGACTTCCTCCAGCAGCAGAACCTGTCTCTAGGTCCCTGGGACATGTCAGGTTTTCCAGGTACTGGACAGCACAGCACAGGTTACTGTTTTCTCTATCCCTCATTCCTGAAAACTGGAGCTTGTATTATGCTCTAAATCTTGCCAGCCCTGGGGGAATGAGAGCCAGCAAACTGTCCATTCTTGGCAATACTTTCACTTGATCAATTTTCCTTTGTGAAGCAACCTCATCTTACTACCCTGTCCCACAGAAATTCAGCTTGTCCAAACCTGCCAGCACAATATAAAGGGGTGTGGAGAGATCAGTGTGCACACTGAACAGAAGAGGGGCTGGGGAAGAGAGGGAAGATCAAAACTCTACATAAATCACACCTATGGATTCAGCTAGGAGAGCATAATATTCCAACATCTCTCTTGCCATGCTTGGCTTGGTTACCTTTCCACACATAAGGTCAGTCAGGAAAAGCCTCCAAAGGATGAAAGAATTTCTATGTGCGCTTATGAAGTTTTCTGGTAATTCTCTTTTCCTCCTTTCTCTGTCTAGAATAATTCAGAGCTCATGGACCAAACTGTACAGTGAGCCCCTCACGGCAGAGAAGACACGCCAGATGTGAGCAGCTGGAAACTGATGCATACACTCCTCAGATGTGATCAAAGGAATGCAGTGCTGAAGCACTACTTAATTTACTCCAGTCTTTACAATTTAACTCCCCTCTTGAAATACTGCTCTGTACTAAAGCAGAAAAAAACACAACACCTCTGTGGTTTAACCTCAGGCTGCTTTACACAGGGACTAAAAACAAATGATATACTTGTAATCATGGGGACATTCTGGCTACTAATTAAGGTTTCAAATCACAGAGTGTAGCAAAATTTCTGCCAAGTCATCTTTTTGTTTGAGGGCCTGATTAATAAATATGAGGCCACCAAAAGGCACCTTTAGGCAACTTAGTAAATTGATTACAGCATCCTCAAAATGGGTGCTGATAGCACAGCCACACACAGCAAGGATCAGGGTGAGGTGAGACGTTAGCCCACACATCTCCCATTCATTGGAAACTGCTCTGGGCTGCTGCTGCCTGGATCCCTGACACAGAGCCCCAGCAGCAGAGTGAACTCTGAAATGCTCAGCTACAGCTCCTGCTGAGCCTTGAGGAGCTCAAGCTGAAGTTACAGCTCTGCCAGAGCTGAAGGAGATCCCTGTGCATCAGCTTGGGCTGTCACTGTTTCAACTCAAGGTCTTGTTGAGTGCCATCCCCTGGCTCTGAACTCCACCGCGGCTACAGTTACAACTGTAAATGTTTTAAAAGGAGTAAGTTATTAGCCCACTGATCTCATACAGCTACTTCCTCCCTCTCACCCCAATCCCCCTGTTGTTTGTGTAATAATTATGTCTTCAGCAATGTAAATAACACCAGGATGGGGTCTGCTTTCCCAGCAGCAGCAGGAAATAAGAGTTGTTCTAAATAAACCTGTCCAACAGCAGGTCAAGATGGCTCTTTTGTTGAAACCTTTGTTTCTTGATTCTGGACCCAGAATGGAAGATGCTCCTCAAAGACAGTTGTCAGGTGCATCAAGGATGACTCAAAACTGGGCTAACAAAGGCAGCAGCTCCAGTACCAGTAACACCACCAGGGTGGAAACAAAATTACACATAAATGTGTGTTAAGGCCTCTGAAGTCTTTCCTCCTTGCACTCCAACAATTCCTTGTTAGTCTGCAGTAGTTATCACTTCATTTTTCCTCAGGTGACATGTTTTAGGATAGGAGGCTCCAGTGTGCATAGAAATCATCTCATCCTTGCACCAAATCCCTGTTACAGCCTCCCTGTTCAGGTTTTACAATTCCAGTAGGGAAGTATTATAAACCACCCAGCAGGATGGGAAACATCGAGGGGATGCTGGGGGAGATCAGTGGAGCTGTGACAGCAGCAGAAGCAGTAATGGATAAGTGCAACCCTTCAGTGGGCAGGCAGCTGTCAGAGACGTCCTTCTGCTTCACAGTGCAGAAATACACAAAAGAAGAATCACCTGAGCAGCCTGGTTCAAAATGGGTTTTTAATCCTGTTCTGTAAGAACACACTCAAAGCCTTTAGGACTTACTCACTCCAAAGAAAGGAATTACAAAAAATGAAGAAGATTCCTAAAGTAGTAAGTAGTTATTTAAACTTAGTAGTTATTTAAGTAGAATTTAAACTCTGGTAAGTGGCATAAAAGGCATATGCAAACACTGGATTGGATACTGCCAATAAAATCAAAGGTCTATGAAAAACATTTCAGAAAGTGTTTGGTTGATGACGTTTGTGTGGTTAAATGGACGGGTGAGTGTAGCTATTTGGAATAAAAGAGACTCCTTTGGAGGTTCAGTTTGCTTCAAAATGAGGAAACAAATGCTCAAACTCTACAAGATTAAATATAAAAACAAATAAAGCAAATAAAAAATATCTGAGGAATAAAAGACCAAAATAATATAAATAATCTTTCCTAATGCATAAGTAGAAAAATCAGTAGCAACACACACAGCTTAGAGAAGATACATCACAGGGGCATTCCATGATTTTCCTTTTGTATCCATGCTCTCCTCGGATAACATGCTGCAGCTCTACAGGCATAGGGAAAGTTCTGTCCTAGCACAAAGCATCAGCAGAAAGAATTAGTTACAAAACAAAGCTGCTAAGTGAGCAGTAACAAAATACAAGGCTAAAAAAATATTCCAGGGTAAATTACTATGAATAGTAGCTTAGTTATTTCTTGTCTAAAACTCCTTTAGTCCCAGAGGATTTGAATGCAGCCTGAGATCTGGTGTTTGAAGGAGTGCAGATGAGGTCAAAGAAGTTCATTAAACCTCTGTAGGTCCATCCTAAGGGTTACACTGAGCAAGCAGGTAGGAACTGCTACAAAGAGCAGAAACAGTGAGCTCAGTTTGAGCAACAGCATGGGGAAGAGACAAGGTGGATTTAATAAAGTGGGGTCATGTCTCACACACGTGAAATGCTTTGGAGGATTCAGCTCCACACCCTTTATCTACATGCATGCTTGCTGATGTAATTTTCCTGGATTTCCAGAAGACATTTGATATGGATCCTTTGCCAAAAGGCCTTTAAAGCAACACCCCTTAACAGAGGGTGAACAGGAGCAGGGGAGGGAGCAACCGTTAAGTTTTCCATGTGGAAATTGCTCATCAGGAGGAGATTTAGGCCTTTGGCTATTACTGAGTCCTTCAGTAACACCCAAGTCTGCAGCCTCAGCACTGCTTGGTAGTCCTGAAGGGAGTAATTAGGTAGGAAATTAGAGTTTGAGTAACTCAAACATGGCCACGTGGCAAGCAGCAGACACCTGGCTTTGGTTTCACAGAAGACCAGAGGCAACAACCTCCATTAAACTCGTGTTTGGAGTGAGAAGGTTCCTGCCAGAGGCTGGAATTAAAGTGAAGCCCCCACAGGACCCCCAGAGCTGCCAGGTCACCAGCACCACAGCTGGGTCTGACCCCAAGGGCCCAGAGCAGTGGAGAAAGGCAGCCACAGCCTCACCCAAGGGACTGGCAGGAGGGAAGTGCCCCCCAATAAACACAGCCCCCAGGGAAAGGACATGAAAGAACAGGAAGTTTCACACTCAGCAATGACTCACACACAAAATTACCCACCAGAAAAAGCTCTTTTCATTCTCATGTAAGCCCAGCTTCCAATCACCACCTCTGAGACAGCCAAAACACAACACTCAGGACCATTCTTTCCTCTTTATTCACAAATCTTTATGATGAGGAAAGGGCACCTGGGGAAAAGCAGATTTATATTTTCTTCTTCCTTTTTCTCGAAAGGAAATTCAAATGTCCTGGGAGAAGGAGGGAGAATCCAGGGAAGAAAAGATTTTCCAGATTCATATGAAAAGCACTCCAGTAGCATGAACACTATGATGAAAATAAAGATTTTAAAAAAAGTTTAACTGGCACCCTTTTGACTTAATATATAAAAAAGAATGATCTTCTGCCTTCCTTCTTCTGGCCTTTCAGTTATTTATTCGCTTCTGTTCTGAAGGCATTTGCTTTGTTTTTCCACTTTTGTTCCATTCTTCTGGTACTAATGTGTCCTGGAAAGAAAAATGAAAAAAAAATTAACTCTTCCAGGCAACAAAGCACTTGCTTGTACAGAACGAGTGTCCCCAGACTCTTCATTCTCTCTCAAACGAAGCTCGGCCAAACATTCCCAAAGCAGCTAATTTGAGTGATAAAATCAGAACTGCTCTGGAATGGGGGATGGAATTCAAGGAGCATGGAAATGGTCAGAGAAAATGAAGATTAGTTTCTGGTGGAAAAGGGATGAATGTGCCTATTAAATTACAGAACTGAACAAAAAAAACCCAGGCTGAAGGCAAAGCCTGCAAGTACCTTAACTTCTCCTTTTAACAGGGCTGATCCATCTGCTGGGAATTGTTGGTCCATGTTAACACAAAGATCTTCATCTCCCCAAGAAGATCAAGCAGGGTTAGCACAGCAAACCCAACTTTTTGGGGTCCTTTTGCTTTCCATCATGCCAGACACAGGCACACATGGCATGACACTCTTTAATAACAATGAAACATTTGCAAGATCTCAGGGCCACAGACACGCTCTGAGAGCTAGAGCCCCTCTGCTCTGAGACAAGGCTGAGGGAATAGGGGATGCTCAGCCTGGAGAAGGCCCCAGGGAGGTCTCACTGTGGCCACATGCAGGACTTGAAGGGAGTTTATGAAAAGGAGAGAGAGGGATGTTTTATACAGGCAGATGGGGCAGTGGTTTCAAACTGAATGAGGGCAGGTTTAGATTAGATGTTGGGAAGAACTTTTTAACTCAGAATGTGGTGAGGCACTGGTACAGATTTCCCAGAGAAGCTGTTGATGCCCCATCTCTGGAATTTGTGAAAGGCCAGGGTGGATGTGGCCCTAAGCCTGTGGCAGGGGGGATTTGAACTAGAGTACCTTAAGATCCCCTCTAACCCAAACCAGTCTGTGATTCCATGATCCTCTAGGATTACTTACAGCCCATAAGGAATAAAGGAGTTAAAATACCAGGCTGGGAAACAGGAAAGATGCAGGCTGTGGAGAACACACTCATGAGGCTCTTGGTACCAGGCCACTAAAAAGCTGCAAACCACTGGCCCACAGTCATGTTAAAGAAAAGCATCCAGGAGCCTGAACAGCAAGCACAGCAATCATCTAAAAGGACAAGTGACAGCCACCTCCAGTTCCTCTCCAGTAACTTGCTGTAGCTTGTTCTGTGCTCCAGTACCTCAAAACACTCCAGGGAAAGAAAAGACAGCAAAAAGGTGTTTTTCTGAGGGACACGATGCCTAATGTTCCACAGGTAATTTCCATGCAACCATCCTGCACACTCCCTGACCTGCAGACAGGAGCTCTCAGCACAGTGCACACCATTTGTGTGGCACAACCTCCCAGCGCTGGTTTTGATTTGCACCACAAAAACGGGGCTCCATTCAACTCCCCATGTCCCTGGAGCACTGACTACGGATGTGAGAGGAAGCAGATGCTCAGATGTCCCTGTGCAGCACATTGTACAGAGATTTGTGTCATCACAGGAGCCATCTCAGAAACAAACCAGTGCACTGAATGAGGGATGAAGCCCCCATGCACACACACTC